CATCACAGTAAGAATACACCTTGAGGAGTCGATACACAGCTCCCCTGCAGCGATTTGCATAACTTGATGGGTTTCTGAGGATTCCAGCATTCTTTTCTTTAAAAAATTGTGTACATTTTGAGCTCTTTTGGTTGCTATGAAACTTGACAGCTCAAACTGCTTCCTGAGTTATAGAAAAAGATAGATCTTCCAATATGGCCTTGGGCAAATCATATAACTGCAATGATTTCCCATGACCTTACCTCCTTGAAAGTACATCATCTTATTACTTAAGAGTTACAGGTGATCTCTTGGAAATCACCTTCAGATTTGAGGAAACAAGAAACCACAAGCAGAGAACTAAATATTGTCTCAGGGTCTGCATAGCGATTTTGAGGGAGCCAGCAGTCAGGGGCACAGCAAACAGACAACAGGACTCCTGTAATCCACACTGCAGCTGCATGCAGTCTGTGCTAGTCACCTGCCTATCCACAGTGCAGGGAGAATGGTCAGGGAGCTAACTTAAGTGTGCAACCCACACCACCCAAGAAATAATAATAATAATAATAATAATTTATTATTTATACCCCGCCCATCTGGCTGGGCTTCCCCGGCCACTCTGGGCGGCTTCCAAAATAATATTAAAATACTATAATACATCAAACATTAAAAGCTTCCCGAAACAGGGCTGCCTTCAGATGTCTTCTAAAAGCCTGGTAGTTGTTGTTCTCTTTGACATCTGGTGGGAGGGTGTTCCACAGTTGCAGAGCAACTTTCCATTCCTATTTTCTTAACAACTTGGGACCAGTTTACACATGAGATCGCCTTACCCTACATGTTTCCACTCAACCACTTCGGCCAGAGGAATTGGCACTACTACAGGCGCCACGTAAAACATTGGTAAGAACTCAATTGTTAAGTGTGCCATCACCTGAACTCTGAAACTCCCTGCCTATTGAGATCAAGCAGGTGCCTTCACTGTACTACGTTTTTGGGCAGTTGCTTAAAATATTCCTCTCTAGACAAGCCCACCAGATGCTTAGAAAGTTGAGGTAATTTTAATCTGCTTTAGTATTGTGACTTCTGTATGTTTTAAAGCAGGGTTGTAAATTTTTCTTACCATTTTATCTTTTGGGTTTTTTTAACAATCTACTGGTGTATAAATGTTATATAATAATCTATAAATAATACTTTCTCTGAGATTCCTCTCTGCACGACTATTTCTATGATAAAGCACTACAGCCAAGAGTGCAAGAAATCCCTCAGAAGATACCCTTTGGCCGAGAAGTGGATCCTTTTGGTTCAGCATATTTTCCTAGCATCAAAACCGAGTATAGCTCACATCCTTTACAACTATTGGGGAACCACAAACGAAACAGATTATATCAAGTGTCTAGGAATACTGCTTACATTTTGCAGCAGACTTCCTATTGCCTTTATCTAGGGCTTCCTCCCCACCCCGCTAAATATCTATTCTCGTTTACCAGCCATGCTATTTTTTGTGTGAAGGATCCTATTAATGGAAATAATTTATTGTACGTTGGCCCTTCCAAGAAGTGATGAAGCTTTTCCCTGCGCCAGTTCTGTTACTTTTTTATGCTGCATCAGTGCCACTTCTCTCAGTGTTGAAGCTTTATTAAAAAAAGCAGCACCAGCACCAGCATGGCTGCAGCTCAGAAAACTGAAGACTGTGTCACTCTGTGCACCTGAGTTGTGGCTGCAGGAAGGAAAAGAATGGTACCCTGCCTTGACCTATTATAGAGCTGGACAGCTCTAGCTTTGTGGTCACTGCGGCGGAGGAATAAAGCTGGAGGGCATGTTGAGAACAAAAAGGCTTGGGGAAGGTAACAGCCAGTCTGTTGCAATGTTCCTGTCTGAACAGTCCTTGGAAATATCTGCAGATTGGAAGGGAAATGAAAGGCTTCTTTCTGTTTTATACCGAGGCTGGGGCAAGGCATCAGGGGGTCTGAAAGGGAAAACTGCAGCTGTGAGCCCTAAGTGTCTTGCTCTCTGCCCCAAGGGGGAGCTTGCCCAAGGGGGAGCTACTGGCCTGCACTTTGCTGCACTTCAGCATCACTACAAATGCTCAGAGAGAAGAGCAAGACTAACAAACTTGCTGCCCCAAATGGAGAAACAAATGGTGCCTGCCCACACCTTACCAGGCAAACACTTTAAGAGGACTTACTGCACCGTTCATGGGACGTGGGTGGCGCTGTGGGTAAAACCTCAGTGCCTAGGACTTGCTGATCGTAAGGTCGGCGGTTTGAATCCCCGCGGCGGGGTGAGCTCCCGTCGTTCGGTCCCAGCTCCTGCCCACCTAGCAGTTCGAAAGCACCCTTAAGTGCAAGTAGATAAATAGGTACTGCTTTATAGCGGGAAGGTAACGACGTTTCCATGTGCGGCGCTGGCTCGCCAGCTGCAGCCTCGTCACGCTGGCCACGTGACCCGGAAGTGTCTTTGGACGGCGCCCGCTCCCGGCCTCTTAAGCGAGATGAGCACGCAACCCTAGAGTCGGACACGACTGGCCCGTACGGGCAGGGGTACCTTTACCTTACTGCACCGTTCAGATATTTACAGTGGTACCTTGGTTCTCAAACGTAATCCGTTTTGGAAGTCTGTTCGACTTCTGAAAGGTTCAAAAACCAAGTATCCGACAGCCACATCGGATGTTCAGCTTCCGAAAAACGTTCAAAAACCAGAACACTTACTTCCGGGTTTTTGGCATTCAGGAGCCGATTTGTTTGTCAACTAAGCCATTTGAGAACCAAGGTTCCACTGTATTTTATTTCATAAAATGTATACATAGGATTGTTTTTTTAAATAAAAAAACCTTCAAAGCCGTTTACAGAAAGATAAAGCAAGAAAATCAAGGGAAAAATTACAATCCTACTTTAAAATATGCAAAAGTTATAATACTAAAATAGATAAAAATTACCTCAATTTTTCTAAGTACCTAGGTAGGCTTTGTTAGGAGCATCCTACTCTTGTGTAGAACCCCAGCAGAGACACATGCCTGACTGGCATGTTCTCTCCCTCCTGGTCGGTCGGGAGCTTCAAGAGCTTTCTCCAACCCGAACATCACAGCGACTGATGCCTTGGAGACATCAGCACACTTAGGGATCCGAAGAGTCTTCGCAGTTTGTGTAACAGAACCAATAGCACAGCATTTTGGCTAATCTACTTTATTTACATATAATACACTTGGAGCATTCTGACTTAGCTCCTTCCTCTTTCTCATCAGACAGCAAAGAGAGAAAGAACAAAAGACAATAGTACCACCTCACGGAACACAGTAATACCAAAACATCCTGTCTCCGTCACTTCTCACACTGTGGAATGAAAACATACACCGTCGTGTGATAGACAACAATCCCATGACTGCAGACGCGGGGAATGAATCTACAACAGGCTTGTCTAAACAAGAATGTTTTTAGTAGGTGTCAAAGAAAACACAGTGAAGAAACTTGTTTGATGTCAATAGGCAGGGAGTTCCAAAGTGCATACACTGCCACACTAAATGACTGAGTTCTCACGAATGTAGAACAGATATTAAGTGGCACCTGTATGTTCCACCAATTGAAGCAGTCAAGTGGGCACATATAAGGTAAGGCAATCATGTAAGTAAACTGGTCCCAAGTTGTTCAGGGTTTTATATACTAATAGTAACACCTTGAACTTGGTTTGGTAGCAAATTGGCAACCAGTGCCAATCTCTGAGCACGGGTGTTGTATGCTGACAAGGCCTCACTCCGGTCAGCAATTGTGCTGCAGCATTCTGCACTAACTGCAGCTTCCGAATCAAGCATGAGGGAAGCCCTGCATAGAATGCACTGCAGTAATCCAGTCTAGAAGTAACCAATGCATGAACTAGTGTGGCAAGGCTTTCCTAGTCCAGGATCAGCCATAGATATCAAACAAGTTACAGTTGGGAAATAATGCTTCTAGCCACTGAGGCTTCCTGTGTGGCAGAGTTGGATCCAGAACATTAGTTCCTGCCTGCCCTCATCTATTTCCACATGATAGGTGCTTTGCCCTGCTAAATCGAAGGGCCATTCATGTCCAAGGGTGGAACTGCAGCTACCTGATCAGCAGAGGCCAAGTCGCACAAGGGGCTAACTGAGCCCCACCTGGTCCTGTAAGGCTGCTGACTCCAGCCTGGCTGCTCAGTTTGAGCTTTTCTTTTTACCAAGCACAGACCATGCTGTCAGGTGGTTTATTCTGGTACACCTGCTTTGCTGTCTGCTTCCCAGCTTGCCTGCAGGCTTGATGAATTGCAATAGTGCCTATGAAGGTGCTCTGCATGTTTCCTAAATATAGATTCCAGATAGACTTGCCATAGAATAAATGGGTCAGCTTAGGGCAACATCTCCAAACAACTTAAATGGGCAACCGTGCCTGTGCTCTGAGCCACAGCAACAGTGTGCAGACAAAAGACATACAGCTGCAACTAGTGAACAAATGGCTCTAAGTATCATCCAAGCTGAAACAGCTTCTTTAGGTTACAAGCTTTAAACAAGAGCCAGCAAATTTACCCTAAGAAGTAACAGAACTGTAGACGGATGGCCACAGAGGTTCCTTTATAACAGAAAACACTGAAAGATGATAAGAGTTTATATAGTACCAGAGATCTCTGGAGTAAATCCAATTAAGAGGTCCTGAAAGTGGATCACTGACCCTTAAGCCAACAGAACGGAAGAACTACAGCAGCCCTCTTGAAGCAAATCAAGAGGGAGGATGGTGCACAGAGCTTTGATTTTCTCCCACACTGTGCTACTGGCCTGATCACAGGGCAGCCAAATATGAGCATGTAATTCTGAAGGAACTAATCAAGTGGCGGGGATGCAAAACAAAGAATACCAGTCAAGCTCAGTTCAGCAAGCTTCAGGCAAGGCTGTGCCAGCTTTTCAGGGAACATAGGAAGCTGCCTTGTACAGAGTCAGATCATTGGTCCATCTTGATCAATATTGTCTACCCTGACAGGCAGCTGCTCTCCAGGGGTTCAGGCAGGGAGCCTCTCCCAACTCGACCTGCAGGGGATTGAACTCGGGACCTTTTGTTTGCAAGGCAGATGCTCTACCACTGAGCTATGGCTCTATGAAGGCGCCCCAAGTAACTTCATAGATGTAAGCTTACTGGGATGGAGGAATCCCAGCCCCCCGCATCCTCAGCTATTCCATGAAGATTCCGATTTACCAGATTACAGATACAGGTGACTCCCCACTTACGCGTGGGTTATGTCCCCGTGCCCCGCATGCATAAGTGGAAATGGCATAAGTGAGGAAGCACCCTCTGAACATCCTTTAGATGCCTTCTCTGCCACTCTCTCTTAAACCAAATCAAAAATACTGTACCAAAAATATCCACAACAGGAATTGAAGATCTGGGGCTGGCTGGGGGATGCACAGGAAAGCAGCTGCTGCTGGTGTACTACCACGCACATCAGCAGTTAGGCGGGGAGGCTGAGCAACCTAAACAAAGCCCCACTGTGCCTTTGGTCTCTTAGGGGCTTCCTCCACCCTCACCGATGTCCTCTCTGAGCTCCAGGGAGGTTCTCCTCATGAGCCACAAGAACTCCCCAGATCTCTCCCTCCATTTCCTGGTATGAATTGAATTATTTAATTATTTCCAGGCACTGTGCATAGACACGGTTGCGCACAAGTATGTGTGAACATGCTGGCATTGTGTGGAGGACCAGGAGGATATCTTTGCTTTCAGCCTTAAGGGAATAAGTAGTCAGGAACTAGGGAGGTCATGGGAAGGGTTAAGAGGCACAGTAGCTTTAGCCTCTTCAAAGAAGGGAAAGGGGTGGTATTAGGTGGAGAGAAGGCAAAGGCCCCAGGAGGGAAGAAGAAATGGGGGCAGGGTTTGTATGAAAAGGAGTGAGAAGTAGATTGGATTCTATTTTGGTTTGGGAGATAATTTCTTAATATTGCATTTGCCTAATTTCTCTGATTTCCAAGATCCCAAACCCATGCATTAAATTTCATTCTCTGCATGTGATTTGTTCTCATTACTATTATAGCACATTGTTTTAGGAACCATCAATATGCTGATGACACCCAGCTCTCCCTCTCTCAAGTCTATCAGTATCAGGAGAGGCAGTGAAGGTGCTGAGCTGGTGCCTGGAGGTGGTAGTGGGTAGGATGTGGACAAACACATTGAAACTGAACCCAGAGGAGATGAAGGTCCTATGGGTGGTGTTTTGTGTGACAGCCTATTGTGGATGAATTTGCACTGTCCTCCAAGGAGCAAGCTCACTGTGGGTGGGTGCTATGCTAGAATGATCATTCCTAGGTGACCTCAGTGACTACGACTGCCTACAACCTGCTTTTGTTGGTACATTAACTACAACCTTGTCTGGACAAAGATAGCCTAGCTATAGTTTTCTATGCTCTGGTAAGCTCCAGGATGGACTACTGTAATGTGCTTTAAGTTGAGCTACCCTAGAAGATGACCTAGAAGTTGCCACTAATGCAGAATGCAGCAGCCAGGGTGAGAGTAGCTGCATATAGCTCATATTCCTAAACAGCTGCACTGGTTGCCACTTGTTCGCCAGGCCTATTTCAAGGTTTTTCTGTTGACATTTAAGCCCTGAATAACCTGATCCCCAACTATTTGAAAGAATGCCCTGCCCTGGATCAAGCTGCTTCTGCATTAAGATCAGCGAGTAAGGCTTTCCTTGTGGTCCTTGTCTCAAATTAGGTCTGTTGGGGGTGTCCATGGGAGAGTCTTTTTGGTGGCAGCTCTGCATCTGTAGAATGATCTCCCCAACTTTATACACCAGGTAAAACTCACCTTTTTTGCAGCCTTTTAGAAGCTGATGCATTAGGCCACTTTGTAATTATGATACTGCTAATTATGTTCCTTATATATTTTATAAGAATTATATTTAATATTCTTGCTTATTATGTAGCATATTGTCTTATTTTATTGCAAACTGCCCTGTGACCATTTCTGGTGAGGAGTGGAACAGAAATCTCTGAATAAATAAATGTTGTATTAATGGTTCCAACGAAGACCTGCTTAGATGCTGCACAGCTTCCCCAGGCATGGTGAAAGTGAAGACTTTCTTTGTGTTGCAGTTGGGATCTCTACCTGCATCACAATCTGTGCTTAAGGTCTTAGAAATGATAATGCTACATAACTAAGAATTGTTTTCCCTGTATTATTATTCAATTTATATACTGTCCTTTATCCAAAGATCCCAGGGTGACATGAATATCAGCGAGCCTGTGTTGTATGCAGGGCATAAAGGTATACAAAAGTACACAAGATGCCTCAACAGTAGGAAGGCAACAGGGAGGCAATGTGACCCAAAGCCACCTCCTTAGAGCCCACCAACACTTGTTAGGATTCCTTTAAAAATAAAATAAAATATAATATTGCTTTTATTAGAAAATTCCTACTCCTTATTGCCGCAGAGAGATATCTGAATAATTAATGGCAAATGAGTTTAATGGCAGAAAGCAAAGTATAAAAAGCAGCCCCAATTCACTGCATTTAACATTCGCGATGTCTAATTTTGCACACCAAGGTGTTTAAAGGTGAAGTCAAGTTTTTCACATTTGAGGTCAACAATTTCGGAATAGGAATCATGCCTACTAATAATTTATTTCAGCTTGGCTCGACAAATTTAACAAAAACAAAAAAAAAGCTTTGCCAATTATGTTAATCACTTGCTATTAAACATGCAAACTGGCAACAGGCCTTTGGCTTATGATGTATTTCTAATGTGGTCCTCAGGTTTCCCCTACCTTAACGAAAGGAAAGCCAGGCACTGCATTAGCAGATTTCATATAGTGACTAATAGCTCAACATAAAATCGCCATGTCTGTGGGAAAACGGGATTGATATCCTCGTTAATTAAAACACAAAAAGTGTTACCCCATTTGAGGTAGATAATTAATAGTGAACAGTCTTTCTGTGTATGCATTCGCATTCAATCTGCTCAAAGCTATATTTGCTAGAGTATCCGAAAGCATTTCCCAGCATTCTACAAGCAGAAAGATTACATGAGCCATAAAGGAAGTTGTCTGTTTCCAAAGGGCACAAAGGAAGTGAAGGAGTCTAAAGTTGCAATCCTAAGCACACTTGCAAAGGAGTAAGAGGTTCTGAATAGATATGCCCAGGACGGCACTGGAAGTATTGAGGGTGCTCTTTGTAAGAGGCAGAACCTGTGTGCTGTACTACTAGCCGCTGCCTAGAGAAACTTTTCACAGGGGGTAGCTCTTTTACCCCACCAGCAGACACTGGGGATTTCTGCCAGAACCACGGGCAACATTTCTCATGACAGGAGGAAGTGACTGGCAAGAGGTTCAGTGGGCCTGGAGCCAGACGTGAGCTGTGAATGAGAAACAACAGCCAGCCAAGAATGAAGCGCCAGGGCTCACTAACAGGCACAGCAGAAATGATAGGAGAGGATGTGATAGAGCTGTGTTGAACAAATCACAGGGCCTGAAGGGTTGACTGAGATGCTGGGCCTCGGAGGCCCAGAGCAGGATACATGGATGGGGGCATGCAAACTGTCAGGTGCCACAGGGCACTGGCTCCCTACACCACCAGGGCTTCTGGTCAGAGGAGGGAACTGCAGGCTGAGAGGTTCCCTGCACAGGAAGCCAGGCAGCACTGGACAGCCAATCTGCTGCCACGGGTGTTTATGAAAGATTCTCACTTCCCTCTGTGTGTGCAGCTTGTATCTGAGGGAGGCTGCTCAGTCCTTCCTCTGCACACCCAGACTATGGCCCTTGTCTCCATCCTGCCTACCTCTGGGGTACTTGCATACCCTTCAGAACTGAACACATGACACACACACACTCATGATTTGTCAGGATTTGTGTTTTTTTAAGTACAGAATATGCTGCGCTAGGACAAGCCATCAGACTGGGTGACACACTAGGTCCCTTTTGATTCTCTGATTTTAAGAATTTGCCCAAGACTAGTCCCAAATGGACTACTCTAGCTAATTCCACAACTGACAAACAAATACAGATGTGTGGGGCAAGATCTCCAAATGACCAGCATGAACAAACGGCACATAAGAACAGGTGTTTAGCAAACCTGGAGCATCTTCAGCTGGGTCCTCTCTGGTGCCATTACAATACATGGCGTGCACCTCAATTTCCGAAACTGGGAATGTGCGATCACACAGTGGACACGGAATAGGTTTGTCACCAAGAAAGCTTCCCGCAGACACTGTTTCCCCAGCATCTTCAGCTGCATCAGCCTGAAAAAGAGAGGAAGAGAAGGGGCAAGTTGATCTAGTTGCAGTTTCAACAATCATCCTAGTTCCCTCAATCTGCAGTTTCTAAATCTCTCCAGATTCTGGGCTTCCATCACCAGTTTTCATTCCTACTGAACAGGTCAGATCTAAGAACCCTGCAGTGATGAGCACACTCAACAGACCTAATATCTTATGCTTACTTCAAAAGGCACCGTGCCCTCCCAAATCACTATGATGCTCCCTCTGGAGAGCCGCATGTTCTATTTAAAGCATAGATCACCTGCATCGCCACTGTGGCTCTCTTGGGAAAGCGTAAAACACTCTTAAATTGAGAAAGTCTGAGTGCCAGCGAGAAAAAAACACACAACTGACAGAAAATTAAAGCACCCAATTCAGAGTCAGTCAGTCCCTTGTTGGCAGTACTGCCTTCAGAGTGTGGACCCGTCCAGGATGAAAAGAAACTACCAACTTCACACTCATGGCTAGCTTGAGTCAGTGAGAAATGTTCACCGAGTTAGATCATGGTCTGCATAGCAGCAAGTTGCATGTGTATTCATGAGGTGGAGGCGTGTTGCTGTTCTATACACAAGCTTGGGCATTTTATTTATTTTTACCAAAGTACAGCCATCTTATACGATGTCGGGTTTCCTAAATCCAAAGGTTAAGCTACAAGACTGAGATTGTTGCAGTGGAACATACCCTTGAAATTACTGGCTAGTCCTTTGATCACAATTCCATTCAGTGATGTTTCTTGGAGGAAAAGAGACTCTGGGTATCTTGTGGCTTCCACCTGTAAATTTTCCCTTTATTGACTCCCAGCTAGGTTCAAATTATATGTACAATTTTTGAAATGTTGCTAAAATGCTTTCT